CATACTCCATTACCTTTTAACATATTTTTTTTAGAAAATCACCATTTTGTTTAAATACAAATGCACAAGTGAGACTGGACTCCTTATTGTGTTTTTTTGAAACACAGTAGGTAATGGCGTGAAATAAGTGGGGTTTAAGATGAATAAAACAGGAAAACCGAGAAAGCAAGTAAGTCTCCATCAAATCCTGGAATGTGTGCAGGCCATTGCAAGAAAAAAATGTTATCAAGGGATTGTACACTTCTTGCTTACATTGCTTACATAACCTGTCAGTTAAAAAAACCCCAACTAAATTAGTGAAATCCCATTCTAAGAAAGTGGTTGACTTTCCTCCAAATGATCAGAGATTCTGTAATTATTGGACCCATTTAAAAGACAAAGCCTGACCCTTGGGAACAGGACATAATAGATCCCGATTGGCTTTATTTAAATCTGCTTGCCATGAAGCTGATCCTCCACAATCCAACTATGTTGTAAACAGTAAACAGTCTCAGGTGTGAAGTCTAGCAGTAATAGTAAAAATTAGGTGCACCCAGGCTAACAAAATCTTGCACAGTTGTCAACCAGACTCTTGGCTGCTTACCACTCTGAATGAAACTAGTGAAAACAGGATTATTTGTTCTATATATGTTGGTCTGAATGAAATGGGGATCATATAAAGTATAAAATTGATGGGAAGAAATACATTCTCTTTCATAATGGAAATCCTACCATGTAGTGTAACCATGTAGCAGACCATATCAGCTTTAAATAAGGCTAGACTTTAATACATAGGTCAGTAAAACCTTAGGGCTGTGACGAAGTGAGAATATGAGAAGGAAGAGAGGTTGATCTAGAAGATGGATTCAAGGAATAAAGGACAGGCATTGGGACTTCCGATTGACCAATGCAATCTACATTTAGATAGACTTCAAAAGATATCAGGTAAGTTTTTAATATGTAGAACTGATCTACATTACATATTAGAATTTAATGAAAGATTAACATTCGCATCTTCTAACGATCTTTCTATCCTTATTCTTCTTGATCCGCTCTTAAATGGTTTAAGTCTTACCTCACTGATCAGTGTCACTTTGTCTCTCTTGGTGAATTTGGTTCTGAGATTGGACTTGTTAAGTCTGGTATTCCTTAGGCCTTGATACGGGGCCCCCTACTTTTCAGCATTTACATGTTTCCACTTGGTCAGCTTTTAAGACAACATGGCCTCAACTATCATTTCTGTGCTGATGATACTGAAATCTACATCCATACCAAACCTGACACTGATGTGACTGTCTCTGTTCTCTCTAATTGCATCTCTGACACAAAACATGGATGACTCAAAATTTCCTTCATTTAAACTGTAACAAGACTAAAGTCATGCATATTGGCACCCCCCATCAACTTTGTAAAGCCAATGCTATAACCTTTTCACGCCCCACACTCTCCCTCGCAAACGACGTTTCATTCCCGGAACCTCTGCTTCCCAATCTCATCCCTGATTGAACCCAGCATTCTCACATGCATCAGATTCCTCAAATTCTCACTCCCTAACCAATCATCCAATCACACCCCTTTCCTTTCAGTATTTAAACCCCCTTCGCACACCTTCCCACGTTCACTATTGAGAAGCCTTTCTTAGTATTCTTCAGTGCGTGTTTCCAAACCTTTTGACTGATCTCCCATTACGAATCTTCTGCTTCTGCCTCTTGACCTCGCCTTCTGGATTTTGCCTTTGAATTGTTTTGTATATCTCTCGTTACCGGACCCTCTGCCTCCCTTATTGACCCAGCCTTTGGATTTTGTCTTTTGGATTGTCCCTTTGCTACTCTGTGTCCTGTGGGATTCCGGTCACGCATAAGGATCCTCCTATTCCACGTATAGGTTCCGTGACATAACCCTATCTGTGGATGGTACTGTACTTGAGTTTCAGTCAAAATTGAAAAAATTGGGGTGATATTTGATTCAGGCTTGACATTTGACCAACATGTGCAACATATCGTCAAAAGGTCATTATTTCACCTCAGAAATATCGCCAGTCTATGTCCTATATTACCACTAACTGTTGCTGAAAAGCTGAACAACACATTTGTCTACTTGATTTTCTTGAATTTTGTCTACTTCACATTTGTCAGATTGACTACTGTTAAGCTCTTCTTGCTGGGGTTTCTAAATCCACATTGCACAACTCCATTATGTCCAAAATTCGGCAGCCAGAATCCTGACCAGGTCTAGTGCAAGTGATTATATTGCTCCTATCCTGGAGTCCTTGCGCTGGCTTCCTGTCAGTTTTTGTGTTGACTTCAAAATTCTCATGCTCACCCACACAAACATGGGGAGAACATTCCACCACCACCTATGTACAGCACCCACCTGTGTGATGCGGCAGCAGCCATAGTGCACCAGAACGCTCACCACACACCAGCTAACAGTTGGGAGCAGAACAGAGTAATGAAGCCAATTCATAGATAGGGGTTATTAGGAGGCCATGACACTGGGGTAACACCCCTGCTCTTTTCGAGAAATGTCCTGGGATTTTTAATGAGCACAGAGAGTCAGGACCTCAGTTTTACATCTTGTCTGAATGAGAACCCATTTTTTACAGTATAGCATCCCTATTGCTGTACTGGGGCATTAAGACCCACTCAGACCACAGGGTGATCAGGGTGATCAGACCGCATTACAAGGCATTATTTCTACTACTGTATATCTAGTCCTAGTTGTCATCTCTGCAGTGCATGACCTGCATATAGATTTTTTGTTTAAAATGTATTTATTAAATACAAGGTGTTACAAGAACATAAGGGACTTAAAAGTCAACAAAACTCGAGGTTTTGACTATATTATATAAATTACACTTGGAAACAAGAGATTTTATTCATATACTCATAGCAGTCATGCTAACAAACTCTACAAGCAGCCATTCAAGGTAATACCCATTGACTGAAGCATTGCAAATGTCATACAGGGCAACAACTCTGAAACAAGCAACCATAGACACATTGCTCTTACATCTATTAATTGTAAAAGTATGGAAAAGCCAATTGGAATAGAGCTTTAGGATCATCTGCATGGTAGTAGGATTGTAGCTGTAGTCAACACAGATTGAGAAAAGATAGATCTTCTCTAACTATTCTGCTAGAGTTCTTTGAACAAGCAACCTTATTAATGGATACAATGAAGAATATGATATGTTTAAAAAATGGAAAAGCTTGTCTTGAAGTTATCTTTTTAAAATTTGACATATTAATGTTATTTATGTGACACCATAATGCTTTAAACAATTTCAAATTGTCCTTTGCCTTGTTTTTTTAATGTGAAAAAATGCAATAACATATTTACAGACCCAACAGGCTGAAGCTCAGGCATTGAGTTAAATGGAGTTTGCTCTTTTTTACTTATAGAGTGTTTAAAATTGATAGATTTATTGTGTCAACACTGACAAATTAGGTGATCTTTGCATCTTTTGTGTCCCTTTTCCTGCAGGTGATTTTCTAAATAACTTTCATCTGACTTGAGTAAAATGGGAACCAAATGCCATGTGGAGCTGAAAGACTCATCTAGTCTGCGATTAATTTAAAGATTGTATGTTTTTACAGCAGCTGCCGGTTCCACAAACACCAGAAGAAAATGAAGTTAGGTTAATTTTCATCTTTTTGGATAGGCCATACAGCTTCAGCATAGAAAAGGGTTCTTTTGCTTGTAGTAGTAAGTCACCACTTTAAGACAGGTGTCATCAAACAAAAAATAGTTCCAGGCGTCCAATTCCCCATAAGTGAATCCCATCATGGAACAAGCATATTATTCTCCAAAGAGGAATTGACATTACATGGGTTGTCACGACAACCAGCCGTGATTCAAAGCAGCTCTGATAGGTCTCTACCTCAGGCAAGCAGCTAGCCTTGAGATCTGAGCAGATGCTGGGCAAGCCAGCCAATCATAGGTGAGCAGGGAAAAAGATGACATCATAGGCAAATTAGGGCAAACAGTGAAAGTGCTTTGTTTGCTGTCTCCGCTTTTACTGCCTTTCAATGAATCTGCAAGGCTTGGGGCAATAGGCTAGTTGTCTCTGTCTGAACCCTACAGGAGTCTGTTTATAATTAACAGGCATATATCTTTATCTTCCAGGGTATCTGTGTACTATCACTGAGACTGGTAAAGCAGGATTTTTATAGAATCTCTATTATAATTTACATGAACAAAGAACCACTTTTACTGTACAGGGGACCACTTACACATATTACATTGCTTTGGCACTGCCATTTAATTATGGTTTAAAGCTTTAATGCATCCTTCTATTTTAATACTACATGTGTATATAGTCATTCACAGTCAAGGCAGGTATTTCATTATCCTAAATGTGTCTTTTATTGATTAACAATATAACATCAGAGCACATTTTACACACATAAGTCATGCACTCCGATGTATTTAATCATGGTAATGTTATAGGTATGTTCAATAACTTACAACACTTTGCTGTTTTGCCCTTTGCTTGTAATTTCAATGTAAGGAAACACATTTTCTTTATCTAAAAAAACATTTTTCCTGAGTGGATTTGATGTCATTAATCAAACCCATTTTGCTAAGTAGCTTGGGTCTGTCAGGAGACTGTGGAAAGGGAAAAAGGACGGAACAGCTACTGTAGCTTCTCTTATAACGAAACACAAGTTTTGGCTGACAGTTCCTTTTCATATTTACCACCCACAAAACTTACTCTAGTCTGTCTTGTGGATGTTTTACTAAATTAGACCCCGTTAAGAAAGGCATCTTTAATCACCCAGGAAAGCATGTACTGTACAGCAGGCAAGAAGGCTTGGATTCATAGCAAAGTTATATACCGAAAGGATTAATAAAGTAAATATTAATTAAACTTCATTTCATGGGGCTTTTGGTAACATAAAACAGGGTGTTTTTTACACCATGCATAAATGCAGTTCATTTTTGTGGTGAACAGCTTTAGAATTTGGACTCAGCGCCTTCTGTTTACTATTGCAGTATAGATTGTATTTACTGTGGAAAAGTTCCACACTGATGACATTTGCTGCTTGGATGACTCACTGAACCTGAACTCATAATGTTTGCCAGGTATTTAAACGTGTCCATTGTGTTCTACAGTATGTACAATTGTCGGTGTTGTTACTACCCTGGATTCCTCGAAGCATTTAATTTATCTTTTGTTTCAGTTTTCATATTCTGTCCTTTTCTGACTTATAACTTTTCTGGCTTCATACTAGTATTGCTATACTACCTTGTATGAACTTTCTGACTTCATACTAGGTATTTCTGTACCTTGTTGTTTTTATGTTAAAAGATTGCAGTTACGATTTTGTTTGTTTACACCCCTCTAGGCACCCCTGGAGCTAAATTATTAATTTTAAAAGAACAGTTCACTCCATGAAAGCTACTCCAGTTTGCCTTAAAAATGAAACAGTTAAAAAGCTAAATAAAGTCTAGTATCTGCACTGTAATGTTTAACCAGAGACGTGTTACAATATTACCAACCATTTTGTTAATTAATACTGTAGACCTATACTAATGTTCAAAATAACATTCTTCGAGACTGCAAAGATTCACACATAGTCACTTTCACACAAAGCAAAATAAAAAAAATCCAGCTTCCCTCTCTGCTTCTTACTCAGTGTTGTCAGCTCCCAAACAAAAGACTAATTCCGTCTGGTTCTTCCCTAGTGCCGTTGGCATTATTATCATGTTTATTGTCAGCCAATGGGCTGGGCTGCAAGGATGACATCATGGGCTAGGGAACAGCAAGAAGCCAGTGAAGCATCCAGCCTGTTCAACAGCCAGGGTTTGGGGTCAGGGACCGGTCTGACAACAGAATGGCAATCCTGCCGATGGACTGTCACTAGGGCTTTGATATCCTGCGATGAATTCATCAGAACACTGGACCCAAAGGCTGTATACTGAGCAAAAGAATGACAAGATATAATTCAGGTAATCCCCAACATCTCTTGGTTTTAATAAGTTGGATTTGGACAGAGGCATTTTCTGTAGGGTATTTTTTCTGCTTTTGGTTCCTGCTATAAAAGGAAGCACTATTGATGTGCACTTTGTCTCTCTCTGCTATAAAAAAGCATGTATAACTAACAGCTTAGTGATGTTTTCTGGTGGCTTTTCAGGATTATTCCCCCACCCCTGACACATCCCTTTTTCCATATAGAGCATCTTTGTTATTGTGTGAGATTGAAAGCAAGAATAGGTGCATTGAATCAGTACACTGTTCCTACTAGTGTGTGCAGCAGCAACTGCAATGGCTTGTTAAGTAGAAAAATGAAGGAAGATGCATTGCTAATTTGAGGACTGAGTGAGCTAATGCATGGTTTAGTTGTCGAATGATTGGTTCCTTTTCATTTTAGGCCAAGAAATTTTTTTAAAAAGAAATTAATCTTTTAAGGCTATTTATGTTGCTGGATTTTTATGCCATTTTACCATGCTTTGAAAGACTCCAATCATATTACTCTCAATTTGAAAGCAAGGGCTGACAGGAGATGCTATCTAGAAAGGGTGGTATGGTGTTGGGTATTAGAAATATGCAGTGTCTGAATTTTTTTGTGTACATTATGTGGATGGAGATGGTTTATCCTTCCTAGTTACAAGGTCCACAGAAGCTCTCTTATTTGTGCAGAATGACTGCTTACTGGGGTCAATCAATATGCACCTATTTCCCAAGCAGCCAATGAAAGCTCTATTTTTCAGTTGGCAGGCTGGGCTTATTCTGGGGATGTGCTTGACAAAATTCAACCTGAGAGATTGTGAGTTCGGGTTTTAATTGGTTTGAGAAATTCACCCCATTCCTAGAAGTGGAGCCAGTCCATGTTAGTGAGCAACATAAATGGTGAGATATTAGAGTGTTGTTTTATGATAGGACTGGGGGATGTTGCCATTGCTGCTGTGTCATCATGCAATTTGCTGCACATATTTAGGCTAGGCTGTTCTCCCAGTACAAAGTAATGTGACCAGTACTGGTAACCATGTGTGTATTTGGTCAATCTGCATTCATTAAATAAAGTGGCTTGATGTTTAAATGTCATCCAAAAACTGTCTAAACTCTCCCATTAAATGAAGTGAATAAAATAGCAGATCCCATCTAAAATTTTCCTGCATTTCTTCTTATCTCTATCAAACTAACAGCTACATGTTCGTGACTTTAGATTGGATTTTTGTTTTCTCATTTGAATGTTGAGTCTGAAAACAGAATCAAAGAAATATATAAGATACATACTACAGTAAAGGAATTTTTAAGTGGAGGATTTATTCTGTCTGCATCTGAAATAGTTTAGCTGAAAAGAAGGAAGATATTTCTGATTTGAATGTTCTGTTTTAAAAACAAAGATAGAAAAGGTATTTTTTTTAGCAAGGAAGTGTTGAGGTGGACATGGGTATAGTATGATTATTATACATACTATACAGAAGGTCGATATATATTCTATATACTGTAGTAAATATAGATAGGTATATTATGTTTATTGAAGTTGTGGCTCTCCAGGATGCTCTGGAGGTCAAAAGTTTGCCTGTGCTAATAAAGGGCTTTAATATGCGTTATTCACTTTTTAAAAGTGGTGAGGTTTAGTAGGTAATATAATTTTCTCAAATGGATCCATTTTATTTTGTCATGCCTGTGTCTTTTGAAATTGGATTACTTGAAACCAATGCATCTGTATTATAGGTACTTGCTTCTTCTTATTTGGATATAAATTTATCCTCAGGTCATGTTGCTGCAATAGTGATTAAGGTCAAGAAAAATGTGTCCATTTTTCATCTTTTTCTTTGAACCCTTGCAGTGTAGGTCACCCAGGAAGATTGCTTAGATTGAGCTGATTGTTCTCTCTCTAGTAATAGAATAAATTGGGTTTGGGTTAAGGTTTGGGTGCAGGAGACCTGTATTACAGGGTTCAAAGGTGCTTCATCATCTAAGGAACTTATTAAGTGAATGCATGAAAGATAGCCAATATTGGACCGGTTAACTGTTTTGTTTGGGCCTTTAATATTTTATTTCACAATTACCTCAACTTTGAGCTTCATGTAGTATTGCAATCTTCCAACAAAAAATTCCTAAAAACCAAAACCAGTGCTAGAATTTGTATTTTATCTGAAGCATTATAACAAATGGACGATGGTACTTTTAAGCTACAGATGCAATGAAACCTGCATGCATTCATTGACAGAGAATAGAGGGTGAATTTGTTGAAACATTTCTGATCCTATATTAGTTTAGCTGGGAAGGCTTTAGATTGGTTTTCATACGTTAAAAGATGATAAAGATAAATCAACACTAGGAGATGGTCCAATTGGTGTTTTGCAGAGTTCTATCTTGAGACCCTTGCTGTATATACAGTACATTACAACTTGATATGATCAAAAAACTTAATTTCAGGACAAACCAATCTGACAAAGTTCTAAAAGACAGACCATCCAGAAATCCATCATTTTGTTTTTAATGGGTTAAAAATAACATTCATAAAACAGTTATTGTTGTTGGGCACAGATGATCAAAAAATGATTCTTTTAGCATCACTATTGACAGAAACCTTGTTATAATATCTTCAGATAGTAATATTCAGATAGTATCTTAAGAAATTGGTTGTCATTTTTGACATCTTTTAATAGGTTCCATTTGATTAATGTTTTAAACCTGTGTAACTAGAACTGCTTTTTATAATTTGAGAAATACAGATGTACTTAAAGGATGTGTGGCTTTGGGATTGAAGATTGTTTCCATGTTGCTATAACATACAGTAAACCTAGAGTTTTTATAAATACAAATTATAATTCTTTATTTCATATACAGGTACCTGATAACAAACCCAGTAGTTTCCAGCCTATTCAGAATGTTTTTTCAGGTTATTGACACAAACGTTAATATCTGTTCATATCATCCTTTGTTTAAGTTTACATTAGCTACCAAGTTTTCAAATTAATTTTAAGTGTACAACAATGACATTTAAAATCCTACATGAGTCAGGGCTTTTCTAGCTTCAGGAGATACTGTATTTATTCCAAGTGCTCCTAATTGTTCACAGAGACCTGAAACTGCTGGTTTACCCCAAGATAGTTTTTATTCTTTAAGCTGTGATGTATTTTTGGAACTCCACTTCAATCTGTTTCAGCACTATAAAAATATACTGTATAGATATACCTATATAGATATACCTACTGTATAATGTATATAGAAACACTAGCTTGTATTCTGCAAAATTAATATAAAATCCATTCTTATTGGTTCAATTTGTATGTCATTCATAGTGACTGGATATGTATTTTCATATACTTGTTTTTAATTACATTATTCCTCAAAGCCCTAACATAAAGGGTGCTAGATGAGATTATTATTATTTTTTATTATTAATAATTTAATAATATTATTTAGAATAATTTCATTGAGATGGTCTATTGGATTTTTTCAGTATTTGTAGTCCATTCAATAGTTTCAATTCCTGAACAGAAACATGGCTTAAATATTATTATTTTAATTATAAAAATTATATCTTTCAGTTGCAATCTAATTAACATCTACTGTTTTTAAACATTCGTTTGATAAATTGATAATACCTTAGAAGTTGAAATCAAAATTATTCATGGTTAAAAATGGTCAACATCAATGAGGTATGCTTTCCAGGAATGTAAGAAATAATGAAAGGAGTAACTCTGAAGATTTTAATTTGTGGGGGGTTAGTTAAGTTAATATGTTAAGTTAATATGAAAGAATGGGATGCATGAACAAAGGAATTCCATCCTCCAAAAGATTTCATATGAAAACATTTATACTGTTCCTCTACCTTTTGTGTATTTAATAATAGTGCACAGCTGCTAAAATCTCCATACAGTATGTAGAAGATTTTCAGTATGTGATTGGATTAGTTCTGCCAATATCAATACAATTCAATCTCACAACTTCATCATGCTTTTATTTTTTTGTCTTCTTACCATAAGGATCTGTTTAGTCTTAGACTGGAACCGATTAAACTGCAGACAGAAAGAAATGCAGACAATATGCATGCACGGGGTGAAGATTGGTCATCTCTTCACAGAAACCTAATGAATGAACATTTACCTCAACACTAGGGCTTAATTTTTCATCTTAATTAGCATGTGAGACAGCTTAAACTTCAGCAATCAAATATTACAGCTGGTCCACATGTGATCTTTGTTAACCTTAATTCAATTTCTTTTTTTTACACCTAGGAGAACGTATTAAAATTTGATTAAACTGGTATTTTTCTTATTATTTGAATTTGTATGTTTTTGAACTGTTTGTTACAGAATAATCACCAACAGTCATTTACATAACTATCAAATTAAGGATTATAATGACATTATTCTTTCAATTTGTAGACCCCAATTTCTCTTAAATATAATTTTAAATTCTATTCCAGAGCAGGTGGAACAATATATAAAATGGTGGGTAGCTGCGTCAGCATGCATAGGCTGCAAAGGAACAAGTAATAGGTTTATTCCATGCTGAAAAAACACCTGAAGAAGGCTCCACGGCCGAAACGTTGCGTTTTCTCTCTTCTTTTTTTCAGCATGGAATAAACCTAATGCTTGTTCCAATATGCAAAATAAAATACACAAAAATGCGTAATACACTGTGAGGCAAGAGTTTTTACAACCCACTAAGAATTTGTAGATTCCATATCTTCCAAAGTTAATTTCAATATTCCTGTTATAATGGATGTGTTTTAACTTTTATAGTACGTATACAAGTGTTGATAGAGACAAATTTAATTAAGTAAATCTGTTTGATAAACAATTATTTAAGCCTCCATTAAAAGCAGTCTTCCCATGAAAAATAATATATACCACAATCTAAACCGGTTAAAACAGTTTTTTCTATACTTCTCACTGATGGAACCAGTTTGTTTTTTGGACAGGACAGAAATGTGAGATTGAGTATACTGTAAGTAACGGTTTTAAAAGCTAAAAAGGCTAGATTATCTTCCATTACCAAGACTTTGAAGAACAAAGAATTTGCTTAGCATCCCCAACCTCCCTATCCTGTATGGTCTGAGGAGTGGATTTTCATTACAGGTTGTGGACCATCTGGCTATTTCACAATGGCTGATTCCAACGCCACACCTAATATGTTGCATTTCTGTTTGAACTGTGTGTATACAATACTCTTCTGTTCATCTTTTAACTCCCACAATCCAGACATATCCAGACATCTGTAATAGAGCCATGAACAATTTGGCACTTGGTCATATTTCTATTTGATCGTAATCAATTAGTCTTACAATTCAAATTTAGATGGTACTTGACAAAAACGGAAATACCTGAATATATCAAATTGTTTGGTATCTTGTAGGCTTTAAGGAGGTTTATCTGTGTCAGAGAACATCATTGCATTATAACTAATAAAGATATATTCAGTACATCTTGATGTAGGGTAAATCCAAAGGTTTGGAGTCATGTACACTGAAAACATTCATTTTTGGTACTTTTGGTATTCTGATCTAATTCTAATTCTGATCTATAATTCTGACGTCACAACATACTCACTTGGTTAATTTTTCTCCTCTTCAGAATGATTTTGAATTTGAATATAATCACGTTAGTTCTACTGGTATGCAACTGATGCTTTCTTTTTGAAAGTCAATAACTATGATGAAAGGAACAGTTATAGAGAAATACACTGCACTGGACATTCATATTGTGCAGGATAATGAAAGATCAAATGCTTCCATCTGATCCTAGTGCAGTTTGTGTCTTCTTTGAAAAGTGAGTGGCTTGAAGTAACCCCATGTGATCCTCTACCTGCTCTGTCTTTCAGATAAAAAAGAAATCAAAATCCAGGTTAAGATCAGGATTTGCTGATTTTCATTTTATCTGATAACATACAACCAGGTCTAAGAAGATAATGAAATTATTGATTTGTACTGTACTTAATTATTGGTTGTTAACACTAGTGAGCATTATTTAATCTATAATTCTGTTTAATTGGTGATTTGCACCTATATTTTCAAACAAATAACACCCTTGCACACAATTAAACACTGTTCTTTTTAGTATACTGTATTTGAAAATCAGTGTCCTTTGAAACTAGGTGGTGAACAATATTTTGCAAAGATTTGAAAGTGGTGGTTATCCACAAGTCTATTTGCCCAGCACACTGTGCTACCTTCAGTGCCCCATTATTTATAACTACAAAAAAAATCACTTTTTAATTAAATCAGAATTGAAACACTCTTTCATGTTCTTTGATTTACACAGGGTGCTTACTGTGATAGTATGTCTATTCAAATAACTGCATTGTGAGAACTGTGTCCCATGGAGTGATTACATTTGATTGAATTACAAATGGAACAATGGGTAACATGTTGATATGCTTAGTAACACACAACAGAAGTCTCGGAGTGACTTTTATGTGTAGGACACAGCTGCATAAAGCTATTCGGTGTCCATTGTTCTTGTCTTCTCCTTGGTTCCATTACAGTGTGTACTGAATTTCATCACTCCACAGTGTGTTTTTCACAATAAATTTATTGTAAAAGGACTACACACTTTATAGCACTCCTGTATTTGTCAATAGCAGTACGCACACTTGGCTACATTTGTATCTTATAATGTCGCCATGATGATGAAGGTCAGCAATTCAGTGGAATACTCCTGTATCTCTTTATGTGCGCAGATACGTCTGGTGTCAGTCTGGGGCAAATGTTGAGACAGTTTTACAACAGGCCAAAATCCAGTCCCAAGCACTCCAAATCTTTAAATTTAAAGCAAATTTTAACACTTCAGAAGGGTTTTCTGAGGATTAAAAATATTTATGGTAGTATACAGTATGTTACCTTTTATGAAGAGTGCAGTAATTTTGAGGAAGATTTGATCTAAATGCTTTGAGAATGTTTCACTGTGGGCGGAGGGCCACAAAGAAGAGCATACGACATCTTAATCAATAAATAACACAGGGCATATTATTCACAAAGCTGCAGCCCTGCAATAAAGTTTGCAATACTTGGTTCAGAGAAAAAACTGTAGTTACAGCTGAGCTGCCACTAGGTTCTAAATCCTGTAAATAGCCACACTCTGGGTGAATGGCTTTATTATTGGATAATTAGTGAAAGAATAAGAATTCAACATACTCACAAGGGTGTAATTAGGTTTTATTTGGTATTGAAAGGGTGTGCACAGGGATTGGAAATTTTGAGTGCTGTCTTTTTGTTGCTGTATAACCTGAAAAGGCCTACAATCATGCTTCCTGGACTTCATTTCAAGGTTGTTGAGTTTGTGTGTGCATACTCTAGGGACTGTCCTGGCTGAGGGTACAGTCTGTTGCAGACACAAAGCAAAACCTTGAAAACTTTTAAAATCCCAGTTTTTTCTAAAGAAAACCAGCACTATTCAGTTTGTTTTGTTTAGCCTTAGCTTCAATGCCCAATGATGGATTGATGAAGTTGCTAATAGGCAAATCAGAAAGTAACCTACAGTATAAGCTCTTGCACTCAACAATTAGTTTTGGTGTAAAGCATTTTTCAACCACTGTTTCAATTGTCCCAAATTACATGGGAAAGAAAACAGAACTGAAATGGACTCTAGAAGGAAACTCTTTACCTTAGGAATCAGACCATCATTTAATACACAAGACTGAAAATCAATAAAAAAAAGATAATGACATAGTATTTCAGACTAAGACAATCATATTGTTCATTGGATTGGTTCTATCAAACTCTGTATAGTTACTTAGAGTTTGTCGTGAAGAACTTAGAATACAGTAAATAATAGATGTGTACTGAGGGAGATCAGTTTTCCACTAAAGCGAGATCTATTCTCTAGGATCACAAGATCTGGCTTTTGTTATTCTAACTGAACACTTAATTGGGCTGATTAGTTCACTAGTCAGAGCTATAGTTTACAGCTTTATTTTTTTTCTGACTGGAACATGTTATATTCTGTGGCTTTACTTTGCTCACCAATGCCTAAGGCTCAGACTTTATGCTCATATAAAGTCCTGAGCTCGTCTTACTCATAACCCCTGAAACAAAAAATGCAAATTTCCAATAGAGCTGAGGATTTAGATTAGATTTAAAATATCCTTTGAGACAGAAAATTGCATGGGGAGACAATTCACGTATTCAATAGTCTGAAAGGTATTGACAAAGTCAAACTAGGGGACATCGTCAGAATCAAAGCAGTACAATGATTTGGGACTCAAAGGAAATGAAGTTCACAAGTCTTCATGAAAAAACTTGTTTTTTTGGTCAATTCTGAGTGACAAAAATACCCTACTTTAAGGGTATAGTTTCAGCGTACAAACCTCTCCTGAACTTGCTGTCATGCCCAGTACACCTAGAGGGCACTCTACTTCTCTCCTGTTCCTAGTTCCCTGTGATTATTCATGTCTTTCTGGTGTGTCTTGTTGTGTAGCCTATTTACTTCCTGCTTCTGCGCTGCTCCTCGCTCAGCATTGAGGTTCAGATGTCCCGAGACCTACCTAGCACCAGGTCACCAGTGTCCATGGCCTGAGGGCATACTGTAGGTTTCTATACACCATTTCCTGAACAGCTTAGCCTGGACTAACCCCAGTCTCACAGCTACGCATAGGGTCTGTTTTCGTTCTCCTGCTATTCCACGGTTTGTCCTTCCCAACATCCGTGAATCTTACTTGCCATTACTTGGATCAATTAATGATAAACAAATACAGCAGGGAATGACACTGTACCAGATACTCCCAGAATGAACAATTGGACCTTTACACAAGGTAAAAATAATTACATTTCAGGCAACACAACTGAACGAGAGCATTGGTACAGGGTTGATACCAGTTACAAACTCTCATTACTCTCATCTGACCTTTTAAGCTGAAATCAAATTTACAAATATGCCCCAAATAGAAAAATGAAATCAATTAACTTCTGATTAAGAATTCAGTTGGAGCAAAAACTGGATTGAACTGGAGTTCCTCCGGGACAAGGGTTTGGAACTACTGCTTTATAGAAAGCTCTGCTCTCAGAATGTGAAACTGAAAATTATATATCTTAGTGTATTTTGTTTTGTTTTCCAGTGAAGAAGGTACTTGTAAAGATAATTAGAATATTAAAATAGTCTCTAAATGTATGCTTTTTGCACTAACATTTTTTTTCATTTTTCGTTCTGTTCTTTTTTTACTGCAGAAGTACAGTAAACAAACTCTTGACAGAAAAGCAACAACAAAGCAATGACTGACATCTAAACAAATGGCAAGCATCACTACAGAATTTTGTGGTTGGACGTTTTAATTCTGCTTCTTTACTGCTCTGTGAGGATCGTATCCAGGAAATTTAAGGTTATGCCTTATTCCATTGTTTGCCTTCATGGTCTTTAAGGTTTTTCTGAAAGTTACAACACTTGAATATTTGCTGCTCATGTGGATGAAATCTACAGTTTGTAACAGATGTTCATGTTGGTGCTCTGCGGTGTAGAATGCTTGTGAAGTTATTTCTGCAGCAGGCCCATGGGTTTACCCTTGTTACTAGGTTATTCTGTTTTGCAGCAGTTTGTTAGGAAATTACCTTGGTTTATTAAGGAACTAGATAAAATCTTATCATAAGATGCAGAACCAATAAGTGATAGATCCTGTAGACACCTGTTTAAGTGTGTTGTTCTATAAGATTTTAAGAGCTCTTTAAGTAATCGCTTTCATGGTGTATGATGAGGACCAATCATAGGTCCAACATCCTTATCTGTGCTGATTGCCTGCTAACAATATTCAAAGCATTAATTCAAATACCTAGGGACTAGTGATCTCCTATCAGGGGAATCTATGTTTGGTCCATGTATACTGATACTGGAATGAGAATACTATAGTTATAGCTTATATGTACTTTCACAAAAAGTTGTCAATTTGTTTTAAGCCCTCTGACCAGCAATACAGCTTGTGCAGTGAGGCATTGCAACTTGCCAATCACAGGAAAGCTTGTTAGGTGCACTTTTACCCAACAAGATCCAGGTGGAACAATGCCTGATCAGGTCACCTTTAAAAAAGACTTAATTCAAAGCTTAGGTCACTGCAAGAAAAAGGCCACACTTAGTCAGGTTTCTGCACATTCCATAATGCCTTGAATGTCACCAGAAGCAAGAGAGAGGGCCATTGGCATGCTACGGGCAGGCATGTCATGTGCCAGCATTGCCAGACAGTGTGGAATAAGCTGCTTCACTGTGTCCCGACTGCAGAGAAGGTTTTAGGAGACCACCAGGATGTCCAAGATCCGGTCGACCTTGAGTAACCACACCAGAGCAGGACTGACACATCATACTGGTACATCTGAGAAATAGTTTCAGATCTGCCACCCGTACTGCTGCTGAAACTGCCAGCAGATACAATGCTCACATCAGTGACAGGGCAGTGAGGCTCCATGCTGCTGGCCTTAGAGCAAGGCGACCTGTCAGAGGCCCTCTGTTCACACCTCCTGGACATCACACCTGACTGGTTTGGGCCAGACAGAGGCTGCAATGGACTCATCAGCAGTGGCATCAGGTGCCCTTCACAGATAAGTCACTCTTCAGCCTGTTCTACGCAGACGGGAGGGCTGGAGGTGTTGCATTTCTTTTTTCCATCAGTATACAGTATATTATTTTGCCTTCAAATTACCTTATTTACACAGAAAACTACACTCTGCAAAATAAAAATACAAACACAATGCTTTATTTATTGATGGCAGACATTTCCATTGTTAAAACCTTTTTTTCTTTTGCCAATTAGGTAGTCGTATGATTTCTGCTAGTTATCTATTAGTAGTGCTACAATATGTATGTAACGTGCATGAATATGAAGAAAATATGAAAAGATAGTGTTATAGTGCCTTATGAAATTAACTCCAGAATCAATCCAGTACAAAGCATGATGGGCCATGTGTGTTTCATGAAATCTGCAATGACTAGAATGGGAATGTTTCATTGGAGCATCATGGCTTTGACTGTTACACATCTTATAAAACCTGTCATGTGGGAGAAGAATACTTGAAAGATTTAATTTAGCCTTGAAAGATTTAAGTTAAATGCCGGAATCGAATCAGGTTTGTAACTGCATATTGTCCCACAGTAATAAATACTATTTATGGGATTTCCATGCAGACATTCAGTTATGGAACTCAAAATGCAGTGATGCACAGTGGCTTGCATGTATACAGCCAGATAGAGACTCATTAGGATGCCAAAAATGGTTTGACTAAATGGTTTGACAAAAATGGTTAGACTAAATTACAGTCACATAATGTCTAACCAATCAGCAGTACCCAGTTTACTGTACTGGAACTCTTTAGATTCCACTGAATGTAACCGTATTACATACAGCATGTCCTGCATTCTATAATGAAAGTTATTTGATATATTGGGTTCATGCCTTTTTGTTTTTTTATTCATTACATTAAAAAAGATATTGCTGCTCTGCAATCAAGAAATGAGTAATTAGATTCCTAGGATTAAAGGAATGTCCTACTCTGACAATTGTTATAGAACTGGACCTCTCTATTCTTGTGCACATGAGTCCTGATTCCAGTATTTAAAATCCTCAAAAGCAGAGACAAAGGCTTCAGAATTAACCGTGAAAGACAACCAGATAAAACAATGGGGAAATACCAGGAAGTACATTTGAAACTTAGAAGAGGAAGTAGAAAATCACACTTTTTTACGATAGTTTAAGCTTGGAACAAGTTAACCAGCTTGTTAAAGCTGATACCATAGGTTTTTCCAATAACAGTTCACACATTTCCCTGCTTTTGCTACCTTTCTTACATTCTAATGATCATAGAATCTCCATATTGTGACCCATTACTTATTTATTATTTTCATTCTGCTTGTTGAAACTTAAATGTGGAAATCTTCTTGTTAGAAACTGAAAACAAGTCGCCCTAGTTGTTTTTGTGATCTACGCTCAACAAAGTGAGGCATTTTATTGCCAACAATAACACTCACATATACTGTATAATGTACACAGCTGAAATCAGTACTGTCACGTGCTGTCAGCTGTTAAAATATGCAATACAGCGATCAGGTTTTTCATAGAAAATACTGGAGAGACGATTTACAGGAGGAAATTAAAGAGAAAAATCTCTTGTATTTTCTCTGTTAATGGTTTTAACAGAAATGCATGCAAACAGAACAATCAATAAAAGCTAAAGATATGGAATTTCAGTTTAGCAGGACTGAATATTATTTTATTGCTTAAGCCACACATCTCTAAAAAAAAACGTGTTGGGAGTTTAGAAGAGCTGATTGTGCTTTGTGTTCTCTGTGAAATTGCAGAATATCTTGTGACTTGCCCTTCTAGCTATATCTTTGTGCTCACATGGCTTCTCTGTAAGATTAGTTGATCACAATCCAGGATGTTCATGGAGAAGGAAATAAATTCTGAAATAGTTGATAAATGGATTAACAATATGGGTGTGGGAAGATGATTAAAAGTTTAAAAACAAAATCATGCTACCCTAGTGAGTATAGTACTATAACTGCACTAAGTATAAAACTCACACAGAAAATGTATTTTTTTAATATCATGGCCATTTTCTGATAGCTACGTTTTTCATGCCATGACACACCCATGGACAGGGTGCAGTAATGGGATGTAATGGGATGTTTAAAATAGGCGAGTCTCATGGCAAACTGAGACAAACACAGCCTTGAGGTTAAAATAGTGCTCTTTTATTTACAGTGCATAGAACTCCACAATCAAAGCAAAACCACATAACAAAACCCAGGATTGTCTTTGAGCTTTTAAATAAACTTCTTGAAAGCCTCTCTCTATTTACTAGCTGGGCAGCTAAGCTGCTTCTCAGCTTCACAAAACTAAAGTCCCAAAAATGCAAAAGTCCCATCTGTCATTTCCTCACTTATTCTCCGTCACATCTTTTTCCACTGGTGCCATTGGCTCTATCCTTTAGAAGGCTCAGATTCCTGTTTTTTTAAAATGTGGCCTGACCAATATTCTTCTTCTAACTGGTCAGATGACTTACTGCCTAAGGTAATTTCCTACAGTACCCTGGGGACTGTAGTTCAGATAAGAGATGCCATATAGTCTGAATCTGCCACAATAAGTATAATGCATGATTACTCCAGAAATAATCTCTTTTGTGCAATTGACCTTTATGTTAGAGATATGCTTGTCTACTGTATGAAAACTAGCATAAGGCAGGTGTAAACATTCTTAACATGAGGCAATATGTGCTGTAATATACTGTACAGTACATTCCAATACAAATCCAGTGCTCTCAAGCACAGCCAATGCAGTAAATCACATCAGCTAAAGTACAGCACACTACTCTGTTACATAATGTAGAAAATGGTTTTAGGCCCAAATATTTTTCAGAATTCCTGAACAGATAGAATTTTAACTTCACAGTAGTAGCTATTCACAGATGACAATGTATATAACCAAAACACAGATTTGGAAGGATTATCTGACTTCAAACTAAATGTAAAGTTCATAAAATATTATACAGGTTTGTGCTGTGTATTTGGTATTTGAATTATAAACTGATTGGCAAATATTTAAAGTGGAACTGATGGCTAATGGCATTATTCATGGTTGCTTTCAGAGCACGTACAGTTGCAGATTATGTATTTTTGTAGTTTTTCCTAAAATGCACAGATCTCCATAATGCATTATGGATGTGTTTGGTCATACCATTTGCTTCTTTAACTAAAATGTTATGTTTGGTTCAAGTAAAATAAATTGCAGGTTCCATAGTTCGGACTAAGGTTATATCAATAATAAAGTTGACACCCCGAAGCAAAGAGACAGTCTTTTGGCTTAAAATATTTGAAGAATATCTAGATTGTGTGGGTGTGTTGCTAGGAGGTACCTGAGATGACAGTTTAAATCCAAGATCCAACCACACTGCTACATACATGTATAGACAAATGGACACTGCATTGATCTGGAGAGGATTCTCTGAAGGTCCACCACACTCAGCATACTGATTTAGCTAGGAAATAGTATATGTGATTCTATAACACCTATTTTATTTTTTTTTTGTTTTTGTGTAAAGAAGAGTTTCCCACACCCTTGTTTACCATACTCCAATATCTTTCATGCTTATTTCAATTGCTTATTCTGCTTTTATGTAACACACCTCTCTTTAATAGTAATTAATGTATTTTAGGTGATCTGTGTCCTAATTAAGAGAAAAAACATGCAGTGCCACCTGCATTCTAGATATTTTTACTTATCATTAAATTTTAATTGCTGCAATTTTGTATTTCAGACAGCATACAAATACATGACCTTTTCTTGATAAAATAATACTAGCCAGCAAATCTACACACAACTGAAGGCTAAATTAGAGAAGA